TTGAGATGGGATACATTGACTTCATATTGCAACCCCTAATAAGTCACGGTGTCACACGAGAAGAAATGTAATAAGATTCATCTGTCAAGTGGGAATGTATCGAGACACGAACAGATGTTAGCGGGATTTGTACTTTAGGCGAGTCCCATTTAGACATCGAGCCAGCAGGTAATGGTGTTACGCGAGTGAAAATGCCATCAGTCTGTCAGGCTGGTGTGTGGTACTTATAAGTGTTTCTAAATGGCTTCCACTTAGTCATTCAACGTGAGATATCAGTTGACGTACCAAAGATCGCTGGTTCTAGTCATAATACTGCAGTGTTGCGAACGGGCATTTGTTCACACTTGTGTATGGACTACCGCAAACTGGATGAAGAAATAATAACCATCATGAATCATAACGCAACGTACGTGCATAAGTTTGGATTGAATGAAAGAATAACAGCCATATTCCTTTAGTTTTAGAAAATCGCACGTGGAATTATAAGTAAGCAATACGACTGTCAGTGGTTAGTTAGCGTTTGGAAGAGAACCGAAACGACAGCTTTAAGTTTGGTCAGAAGCGTGGGTATCAACAACAGATTGAGACAGATATGGAAATACGGAAGCAAATGCCGTGAGTATGATTACGAGGTAGAAGGATGCACAACTAAATGTACTGTAAAACACAGATGACTAATGGTTCCTGTGTATTGTACATGCTGTCTTGTTATAAACGTTAGTAGACGATAATATCATACATTTCCTGATGGCCCCCTTGACGCTATCACATCACCGACACTTGTAGTAAATTCCGCTGCTGCCTGTTCTATCATCGGCTTTCGAAAGAGTATGCAAACTGTTTTAGTAAATTTACAAGAAGTACCTTGCACAACATTTAATTATCTAAAATCTCAAATGAGTATGTCGTGGGACACCTGGACACCATGGTATCTTCACAGCGGGGGTTGGAATGGAATCACTTAGACATGGCTTGAGAAAACAATGAACGAGTAAATCTCCATACCCATGGTGTGATTTGCAATGAAAACAGTGAGCACTGCATAGCTAATCATATGAGGGTAGGCAAACGATGGGTATCAAGTGCCTGGGCAGATGGCGCTGATAAGGTGGTTAACTGAACGTATGTTATTCCCATGCGAACTGGATTTCTCATCGTAATTTTACCGCTTACAATTTACTAACAATCTGTCATCATACATCTCGGTTGCAGATATTCTTTGCAACAAATCCATTGTTGCTGTGCTGGATTTATTTACCAATTAAATATTTATTTAAACACTACCGTAACACCACAGTTGGATTAATCTATTTTTAAGTCAATCTAGATGATTGGTCATTTCTAATTTAAACTGTAGAAGGAACGTTTACTCTTCCGCACCTTACCTCGATAATAGCTGATTTATCCTAACTTCAGTATGAGCGATGTACAGCTGGAAATATAGCTACACTCATTCTTGTGACTAATATATGAAACAGAACATGTAGCATCAACATTAGCAAGTTAATCGCGAGTCAGTGACTTGCCGGGATTATTCAACTTACACGGACGAACCAACGTGTGGACAGTTGCAACAAAAGTTGTTGGGTCTTGAACACCGATTTTCCAAACTGCATTCCAAAGCGAGGAAGGGTTGTAGGGTACATGGATTCCAGGGATAATTGTTGATCACCACACCCAATCGTTCAATCCAATGTACGAACGAGTGTGGAATATTATAAGCAGCAACCGCTTGGTACCCAGGGGTTAACGCGACCCATGTACGCTAACGACGTCACCATTACCGCTGGCCTTTAAGATATATATGGTTGGCGGCATCCGGTTTCGGATTCGTCTGTCACTGAGGCCAGCAAAAGGACGCCTGCGCCTACAGATGGATCATGGATGGCTTGCGCTGCACCACCCACAGCTCCAACCACACACCCCATATCCAGTGTAAACCCGAAGGAATAAGACCGGGAGGCATGCGGATGGGAGCCACGTTTCATCAACGGAGCCGGCCCACAATCCTTCACAGGCAAACACAAGCACGCTGTATTTGGGAATCAAGCGCACACAAGGCGGTGGCTGGACCGTAGTTCGCTCCACACTGAGTGCATGGAACCACTCTTCGAGCCTAGCACGGCTACAAGGACCGTGCACCCCGTCCTCTCCAGAAACGACCGACTGTCTCCTGAAGCCAGTATGAACAAGGTAGTGGGTAACAGACAGGTAGGCACCTTGTCAACATGCACATCAAGCGCAGCCACACAGGGGATATCACGCAACAGCCAATCACTTGAAACGACAAGATGAAATAAAACAAATCCAATTATGCATAGAGATACGGTGGCATAACTCTTCGCTAAATTACCATATGAAGTAAGTTGGTTAGCAACAAATGCGCGATAACGAAAAAATGTCCACAAGTTAGTTAAAAATGCTACAAACGCAACAAAGTTACCGAATATAAGCGCGATTAGTGTAAGCAGCGTGGCCAGTTAAAAGAAGATTATTTAGGTAGGCAGAACAAACCAAATAAAGCGGAATGAAATTTATCCAGCTTAAAAAGACCTAGTGTAAGTGTAAGTTGGTTTAGCCCAACTGCGGTGAAGAAGCATCAAGAATGCAACATCAGCCTCAGCATGGGGCATATATATATATATATATATATATATATATATATATATATATATATGTATATATATTCGCGTGGCCGGTGGCCGAGTGGTCGGCACGTTTGCTTTCCAACCATAAGGTCACCGGTTCGACTCCGCGTAGGGGTGGGCGTCCTCGCGGTATACTCAGCCCGCGCGCGACTAGTGGTGGTCGCGCGGTAGCGAAGCGTCGTTACGGCGTATAAGCTGACACATTTCATTCATTCATTGTGTAGGATGGTCGCAGCTCGGTCAACGCACGTGATGCATGTTGGGCGATGATTTCCAAATTCGAGTCTTCCGAACCCTGAGTATTTTTTGGGTTGCTTTGGCCGTCAATATACAATGATAAACCAGAGACGGGCGAACAACAAAGCCGAAATGAAATTGACATCATTTATACGTTGTGAACTGCTTTTTAAAGGATGCGACGTTACCATGCCAAAAGCGGAAAATAGAGCAAATATAATTGTTTTGAATAATTTGATGTAAACAGGGGCCGTTGTGTGTGATCACAATCGGTCCCTGTGTGTGTATGTAGCCTACAGGCATAGTGCATGGCCGTACAGAGCTCCAGAGTGGTCAAGAGAGTAATGAACGAAAAAAACAGGATAAATCTAGTCCAGCGAAGGCGTGCTGTATTCCTGGGGAGGGACCAAAGGAAGTGAAAGTCATTATCCGCAACAATACATCTAACTTGGACAGAGGCTCCACTTCCGCAAAGACGCAATAAGTTTACTGGTGAGGAGCAACAAAAGTTGACAACAGAGACCTAGTGTGAAATTGTAGGGCCGTAAGTAAACGTTCTGGGTCAGTATGCCTCCAGCTTTCCAACGATACATGGACAACGACCTAGGCAACAAGAAATGACGTGGGAGGAAACGCTATCCTACGATTGCTAGTGTTTAATGACATAATCAACCATATCGCATAAACAGTACGCCAGTGCGAAGGACCAACGCTTTGTTACCATGCAACCACTAACAGCCGGGACTAGCCTGGGAATGCTGCAAGGTAGCCTAAATTTACGCAGATTCGAACCAACTTCCTTTGCATTACAAGCCAAACGCCTTATCATTCCGGCCGTGAGCCGATATCGCACAAGTGACTCGAATTCAAACTAATCTCAAATAGGAAATCCGACTAGGAGACAATAGCGAACGCGCCACTGGGGCTGTGCACGAGTGTGGGTACCAGAATCAAATGTGGTTCGTAATTAGTGTGCGACGCGTTTGTGTGACGCATCCAACTGTGAATCATTCCATCGGACGATGCCAACGTTTTCTAACAGAGCCTTATTCGACAAACGCGCATTTGGTATATCAGGGTTTCTCATTATCGTCATTAGCATTTGTAAAATCATACCGTACTGTCGAAGTGATCTGTGGTAAATGAACACACATGATGTCACTTGGATGAAAGTTGGCGGATTGAAACACTGCTTATGCGATCCATCCAACGGCAAATGACTAGGCGATATTTAGCTACAAACCAGTGAAGACGATCACGAGAAGGGAGATGTTATAATCCTCTCACTTAAGGCAATTCCGAGACTGACACTTTACTGCTCCACAAAACTTCTAGCCCAACCGAAGGAAAAAGCAGAACGCCAATGACCTTGACAGAAAAACATATTAATCGTCGTCTACTAACACTGTACGACTACCGTGGAGCTTGACTCTATGTATAGGTCTCTTAATGACCGACTTCTAGAATTGGAAGGTCAGCTACCAAGGTTAGTAGTTCCCCATATCTTTTGCCGAGGTGTCAGGTGATTTATAGTCACGCGCGGAAACTAGAACATTCCGGAACGTTTGAAATTGATGTGATAATCGTTAATAATCGATTAGTCGCTAAAATAGTGAATTTTCTAGGCAATTCTTACTTTCTCCCGGACAAGGGAGATGTTGTTGGAGGGTTTGCTTAATAGAGAAAAAGAGAGCGACGTGTCGGAGTGCAACGTGATGATGGTTGTGTAAGTGAATACGCACCGATCATGACGCAAAATGCTGTCAGCAGTACGTCTGTACATTTTGCCGACGCTTCGGTGTCACGCGATCACCACAAGTCGCAAGTGCGCAATGGATACTGCAACGTCATCCGCACTTAAGGGGACTCGAAACCGTGACCTGAGGAGCGAAAGCCAGACACCTGTATCATTCGGCCACCGATTGGCATCGATCACAGAGGAATCGAAAAATTAATGTAGTTACAGCACTTCAGGAAAATCTATGTCGTCCTATTGTACGCTCTGGAAAATTCTTACATTTGCCGCTGAAGAAAAAAGAGTTCGAACCAAAACCACTTTCAATGAAAAAATATTCCATGTGTAGAACAGATAGGTGAAGGAGAATGGGAGCTTACCGGTAAGCAGGAGCTCCTTCGCTGCTCGCAATCCGATAGCACGTACCAGGGCAACAGCGGGTGTGGTACAGAAGAGGCCGAGTTTGACGCCAGGAGTGGCAAAAGTGGCGGATTGGCCAGCCACAGCCAAATCACATGTGGCGACGAGCTGACAACCTGCTGCATAAGCAGGTCCGTGCACAGCTGCGATGGAGGGGATCTCAAGTTGGGTCAGGTCGAGCATCATCTGTGCAGTGCAAATGCAGAGGTGTAGATCCATAAGATGCACGTGATTTCTGATGGTTTGAATACCAGAATAGACATTACAACCGGTAGAAAGCCCCTCCCTTATATACGACAACATAAATGACAAAGTAAGAAAGAGCTCACGCAAGGTCTTTGCAGAGTGCATAAGATAAGAGGGCAGGAAAGTAGGTCCAAAACAAGCCGTAAGTGTTCCCCTAGTGCAGTGTCTCAAGGATCATATAAGATAAGCAACTATGTAACGCAGTTAACTCAGTTCCCCCTGCAATTAAGGCAGACTAAAGAATACGCGCCCGTCATTCACGTGAAAGCCAACGTTATTCCCGGTGAATATATATATATATATATATATATATATATATATATATATATATATATATATAGTGTCCGGGAGAAAGTAAGAATTGCCTTAGAAATTCACTATTTTAGCGATTAATCGATTATTAACGATTGTCACATCGATTTCAAACGTTCCGGAATGTTCTAGTTCTGCATGTGATTAAAAACCACCTAACACTTCGGCAAAAGATATGGGGAACCACTAACCTTGGTAGCTGACCTTCCAATGCTAGAAGTCGAAGGTCAGTAAGAGACCTACAAATACAGCCAAGGTCCACAGTAGTTGCACAGTGTTCGTTGGTGGCGATTAATACATAATGTTGTCAAGGTCATTGTGCTTTTGCTTTTTCCTTCGGTTGGGCTAGAAGTTTTGTGGAGCAGTAGATTGTTATTTTTGGAATTGCGTTTAGTGGGAAGATTATAACAAATAGCGAAGAAGAAAATTGGAAATGTGATGAATTTTTCTGCTGAACAATTTCAAAAGCTGCTTTTTCAACAGCAAGCTCAAATGGAGACACGAATGAAAATGATCAAAAATCAGACACAATGCTTGAGTTTGCAGACAACCGGAGCAGCGACGCTGGACATGCAGGCGAGTTCTATTGATCTTCTCACGAACGCGATCACTGAATTCAATAATGATGCGGATTGTGGATGCACCTTTGAAGCGTGGTTCAAACGCTGGGAAGACATGTTCCGGACGGACTTCATTCGTCAGGACGACTCCTGGAAGGTGCGATTGCTACTACGCAAGCTCGGAATAAGTGAACATTCAAGGTTCATAGACAACATTCTGCCCAACCAACTGAAGGATTTGATGTTTGACCAGGTAGCGTCGCAGCTGAAGGAAATATTTGGTGAGTCAGTATTCTCGTTTAGTATTTGCTATCAATGCCTGAAAATTGTAAAAACAGGAATCGGACGACTTTGGGGCCCTAGCAGATATGATTAACCGTGGGTGTGAACGTTTCAAATTACGCTCTTTAACGGACGATCAGTTTAAGTGTCGCATTTTCGTCAGCGCTCTACAATCGCCCAGTGATGCTGAGATCCGCGTGCGACTTTTAGCTAAGCTGGAGCAGGATCCTGATCTGACACTGAAGGCCCTCGTAAGCGAATGCAAACGGCTGCTCACTCTAAAGCACGATACCGCCATGGTCGAAAGAAATGGTCGCGCACCACCAGATACCGTGCAACCCGTGAAAAAGGCCAAGACCGTCAACCGAAGCAAACGCTTCAAGAGGCGTATGAACAAACCGCCCACAGCATGCTGGTTATGCGGCGAATGCCATTTCGCGCGCTTTTGTCCCTTCAAACATCATATTTGTCAAACGTGCCATAAGCGTGGGCATAAAGAGGAATGCTGCAGTCCGGTTCGGTCGAAGATAGTGAAGAAGTTTTATCGAAAGGGGAATTCTAGAAAGGATGGCGCCGTCTCTGCCATAGTTGCCGCATTCCAAAGCGAGTGTAAACCGGGACGACGATTTATCAGTGTGATGATCAATGGGATCCCTACGAAACTGCAATTTGTCACGGCCTCGGACATCATGATTAGTTCCATGAGCACATGGAATCACATAAAGAGGCCGAAGATGATCGAATCTCAGAAAGTTGCACATAATGCATCCGGCGGTGTGTTAAACTTAGTGGGCGAACTCAATTGCAAGGTGTGGAAAAGTCGGGAACATGCTACGTTTCAGACCGGCCGAATTTGAATCCTCTTGGCCTCGACTGGTTTGGAAAGTTGAATCTCCTCGATGTTCCCTTGAATAACATCTGCAACCGAGTTCGAGTAAGTCCAGACCCATCCTCAAAGCCGTCGAAGACATGCCACGTACCTTGAAACGATAATTTGCTTCTGTCTTTTAGGATGGCTTGGGCCATTGTACGAAATTCAAGGCAACGCTGTGCTTGCGACCAGTAGCTAGACCAGTGTTCAAGGCTAAAACACCGGTACCATATGCAGCCATGGCAACCGTTGATCAAGAAATCGATCGACTGGAACGTGCCGAAGTCATAACAGCCGTCAAGTACTCACCATGGGCCGTACCTATTGTCGCAGTGAAGAAAGCAAATGACAAGGTACGCGTCTGCGTTGACTTCTCAACTGGCCTCAACGCCGCGCTGGACGACCACCAGTACCCATTAACTGTACCGGAAGATATCTTTGCAAAGCTGAATGGTGGTAAGTACTTTGCTAAGCTTGATCTATCCTATGCTTATCTTCAAGTGGAGGTTGACGAAGTCTCGAGGGAGCTGTTGACGATCAACATTCATCGTGGGCTATTCCAATACAACCGTTTGCCGTTTGGTGTGAAAACGGCGCCAGCCATCTTCCAACAGTTGATAGATACCAGGCTAGCAGGCGTTTCTGGAACCGCTGCATATCTGGATGATATCATAGTGATGGGCCGAACACCAGAAGAGCTATTTAACCGCCTGGATGAAGTGCTTGGTTGTATACAGTCGTACGGTTTCCGGATCCGTGAAGATAAACGCACATATTTCACGCCGATCATCAAATACCTCGGTTTTATCCTCGAAAAGGATGGACGTCGACCAGATCCGGAAAACATAGAAGCCATTAAAAAATGCCTCCACCAACAGATCTACAGTCCTTGCGTTCATTTTGTGGGCTCATCGGCCACTGCAGCGCATTCTTGCCTGAGATGCACCGCCTGCGTGCCCCGTTAAACAAGCTACTAGCCAAAGGCCAAACATGGAACTGGACATTAGAATGCCAGAATGCCTTCGAACGGGTCAAGACATTGCTGTACTCAAACTTGCTATTGACGCATTTTGATCCCTCCAAAGAGACTGTCTTAGCCACAGATGCATCAAGCCATGGGATTGGTGTAGTAATATCACATGCTTTGCTCAAAATTAAAAAGTACAGGATGAAGAGATGGTAGAACAGCATTGACGCCACTGGCTAATATTGCGGACCATATCCTTCAAGACTTCCAATCACTTGGAATCCGCTTCACGTAGTCCCCAGCCTGGGAGACGCACGGACCCAACTGACGCTAGACACGAAGTTAGAATCTTCATACTCCTTTTCCAGGTCATCGGTTGTAAGCCGCGGCTCTTTTTCCGTTCGCGTCCAGGAAGTGCAAATAATGCGTGACGTGGAAGGCGGTGGGCCAGCATGCGCAGTACGTGACCGAGCCAACGCAAGCGGTGCTGGATGATTATGCTCTGGAGACAAGGACTGTCCGCTCCCATGATTCTGCTTCTAACTTCCGCGTTGCTCACATGGTGCTGCCACCATACGCGAGCAATTGAACGCAAGCAGCGGTTGTCGAAAGTAGACAGTCGTCTCAAATCTTCCGATCGAACAGGCCAAGTCTCGCAGCCGTACAGTAGGACAGCACGAACTGTGGCATTGTACACTCGGCCTTTGAGCTTGAGACTGACATCGCGACGACGCCACAAGTGTCTCCGGTTAGTGAATGCAAGACAAGCTTTGGCAATTCGGTGTGAAATTTCATTGCAAATACGGCCACCAGTCGTAATGCAACTCCCAAGGTAAATAAAGCTGTTAACAAGCTCCAGGCTGAAACCCGAAATGGTGGGCGTAGACACAGAAGCCTGCTAATCCTGGAGCAAAGTTTTACACTTGGATGGAGCAAGATACAAACCGTAGTTAGATGCCTCTATCGCTAAGCGGTTCAGAATGTTTTGAACAACCTGCGGGTCGTCCCCCAGCAAAGCGATGTCATCAGCATAGTCCAGGTTCACGACTCTGCTCCCGGGTAGAAACTCAACGCCGCAGCTCTGGGCTCCATCCAATGTGCGATGTAGGACATCTTCGATGGCAAAGTTGAACAGGTACGGCGAGATAGGACAACTTTGGCGAACTCGACTGGTAACGAGAAAGGAGGAAGAAAGCCTTCCATAAGCTTTAACTTTGCCAGAGGTGTGACTATACAGCTTCTTCAGCAGTATGAGAAACTTATCGGGAATGCCGTTTCGTAGCAGACAGTTCCACAGTGACGACCTATCTCGAATAGCCAAAAACACCACCATTGTTGGTCTTCGGTGAACATGATGATGTTCGAGAAATTGACGCAACGTGAAAATCTGGTTAATGTAACCACGGCCAGAACGAAAGCCAGCCTGTTCCTCACGACACAAACCCTCGCGGCTAACTGAGAACCTACGCAGCAGAATGGACACAAAAAGCTTGGACGCGACAGAGATAAGTGAGATTCCTCGGTAGTTGGTGCATTCACTACGAGAACCCTTCTTGTGGATCGGAACGACAACAGATTCTACCCATGAGTTAGGAACCTTCTGGGCTCTGCCCAGCGATCCAGCTGTCTGCGTAGGTTGGGGATCTATGTACCGTCTGACTGTTGGCCTAAACTTTGCGTCCGGTTGATCTGATGAGATAAAAACAACCTGCGGCTATTACCAGCAGAGACAGCAACTTCCATTTTCTTGGCCTGTTTAGACTACAAGAACTCACGGTCACGGCATAGACTCAGTTGCAGTTGTCTAGAAATAGAACAGCGGAGCTCAGCGTGCTACACACTGACGGGTATAGCTCGCCGGTAGTCGAGAAGTTCCGCGGAAGTGGCCGAGATTCAAGTTTTAGTTGTGCAACGAACAAGACCGCAACTGGATAAACCCGCTGAAAAC